CGTAGCAGGTTTTAACCGACCTATGCAATGGTAAACTCTGAACTGCTTCTGATGTGCTCTCTCCTTGAGGTTGTGTTTGCTTACCTTGTATAATGGAAGTAAGGATGTGTTCACAAGGAGATGACTGTTACACAAAACCTCTCTACATAATGTAAAGCAAGGTAGTTTTATTATCCCTGGCATAGTAACATTTAAGCCATGAAGTTAAAAATATAAAAAACCTCAGGTACATACTCTCTCAAAAGCGTAAAAGTGTTCATCATGTATGGGTAATTGTTTAATTGTTTGACTCCACACTCTAGTTAGACGATAGTATGCATAATATGCTTTGGTCTGAGGGTTCTAAGCTTCATAGAACTACCCGCTACCACTTATTAACCTCTGCATAAATATGACAACAAGCGGTAGTGTAGAGAAGTGATCCTAGCGGCTATTTGGGATCTTATAAGCGAGTTTCAAGTCACTAGGAAAGAGCCCGATTCTCATGGTACCCAGCTTTGTTGATTCTTTGCTCGTGGGTAACTATTATGCTTCATTCGAGCGAGACTGAGTTAGTTATACGGGCTACAAATGGTGCCCATTGCTGCAGATGTGTTGTGCAGCTAAACACTAGATCACCTGTCACCTATGACGCGCGCGGTTGCAGTAGACCAATGCGAACTATGACGAAAACGTTTGTCAGCTGATCACCTAAACTTTGCACTAGTGTAGGAGGCAACATAGGACTGCTTCAGCTAAGGCGGTTACTATTGCATCATCCAAGACCTCCTAGTCGGCATCTATAATCTCGTAGTATATACTGCTTAGGTGTCTAACCTACACCGAGTCTTTACTTTTAAGATAGATTGTTAGTGTTCTATTGGTCTTTTCCACCATAAGCTACGGAAAAATAAGCAGTAGCACTGAAACTTCTCCGTGAGTTCTTGAAGGTACCAGCATGTTCACATACACCAGAAGAAGGAAACGCAAGAACCAAGCCTAATAACATAGCAGTGATATACCGTGCTACTATCACTTTGGTTGCCTTGTGGTTAATACATGTAGACTGTGATGTAAGAATCTGTAAACCAATAACTGGTTTAGCACTCTGGTGCCTTGTGGTGAATCTATATACATAGGGATGTGAAGACTGGTAAACGTAGAAAATACATAGGAATAGACTCTCCATTTGGGTTTCCAGTTGCTGATTAGTAATCACGTGATGTTCAGTTTCAATTGTACAAGCAATTCAGAAGAGTTGGCGTGAGTTTGGATGGGGTTGGAGGGTCAAGAGTACTAAAAGTCTTTGCATGAGCCAAGTGAAGCAGGGTGAAGGAGCGTGCATAGTAGAGTTGGAAGAATATGATCCACTGTAACATCCATTGATGCATTCCCGGCACTCAGAGTTAGTGCTACAGAAAGGTGTTGAGCTGCACCAAAGTGGATCAAGTTGCAGTATGCCCCTTTACCCCACTTCGTGGGGCTCATTCCTGCTGCTGAATATATTTTTTTATATCGCTCTATTGCTTGTGTAGGTCCATACCTCATTTTAGCTACTGAAAAGAGATGTGTTGGGAGCATAGATGCTCATATGGTGTATGAAGTTGCTGGGACTGAACTTGTCTCCTTCTCGAAAACGAATATTCATCTCTCTGAGTCGCAGGTGCACAACGGTTTCCTATCAAATATTGTATTTTCTGCCTTGTTAGCACCAGACAAAATGTTTTACCATAATTGTCACTCTAAGACGTTTCTGTAAGTGTGCACAGATACATTGATTGTTTTTGTGTGAGATTTGGGACTTGTTGCATGATACATTCTCTTGCTCATCCTACTTCACATTCAGCCATTTTCAGTGGGATATAAGATTGGTACTTGTTGTGTGGATATCTCAAACAAAACTGTTTACTGTCATTATTTTCCAGCATAGCTTAGTTTTCCCCTTCCACTCCATGTGCAAATTTACCAAACTTTAAGCAACCCCTCTGAGCAATAGAGATTCACAGTAGACATGGAAGGCATAAATTTGGTGTTAGGTCTCCATGTTCCATTACTATATATGTTGGGGACCGAAACCAGAAGCCCGTTTTCAAGCCGTTCTAGAACCCGTCCAGATGGCTTTAAAACCGTCCAGTTCGATTGAAGGCCGTCAGGAAGAAGCAACCTATCTACCAGTCGCTACTGTCCAGCCCTGATTTTGCGATCTACCTCAGCAGTCGGCCGCGAATTTTGACACTCGTCCCGCACAGGGCTAGCTGTCACGGCCATGCGCGCAAGATCGATCGCGCACGTGCGCTGCGGTACGTGACTCAGCTCTCCATCACCTGCCCAGCCCGTCCTCGTTTTCTCTGCCGCCGCTGGGCACAGTAGACAATAGCGCTCGCAAGGCCGCTGGCTGGAACAACAGCTGCTGGCACGGCCCCGCATGCACGGACCGTGCTCGCCGTTGTCTGGAACAGACGTTGCACGGTAATGACCGACGCGGTAATGAACGACAGTCTGCTTAAAAGCCATCTAGCATACCGTCGGGGCGGCTTTAAAACTGTTGGGCCGGAATTAAAGCGGTCCGGTCCGTTTTAAAGCCATCGGACGGCTTTAAAACGGGCTGGGTTTTTAATTGGTCCCCAACATATATATGAACATAGAAAAGTATTAGGCACAGTTCTAAATATCATTTCAGGTCCTTTGCCGTGTGTAAAATGTCATTACACATACTTGTTATTTTTACCAAGCAACCAATATGCATTTGTCAATTTATAGTTTGGGGCATTCGTATCTAATCGTCAGAGGTGAAATTATGAAGAACGAACAAGTGCGAAAGCATTTGCCAAGTATGTTTCCATTAATCAAGAATGAAACTTTAGGGTTCAAAAACGATCGTAGTATATTAAATCAAGATGCCTTTGTTGTGTAGCAACTGATTATACAGCAAGACAAAGATTTGAACTCACCTCTGTCCGAAATTTGTGCTCAACGTAATGCATGGTTGTTACCCACATTGTTACAGGTCACAACTCACAGAACAAAGTTGATTCTGTATGACAGCCTATCAATGCCGCTCCCTCTTCATGTGTATGCTTTGTGTTGGTACCTATTACACAACTAAACTGCATGTAGTTCAGAATGCAACAAATGTGACAATGCAATTCGTGCCAGAACTTCCCTGCATGCAATGCTTGTGCTCCAATTTAAAGTACACTTAACCGAAGAAGGCCTGATAATACATGCTTATGTTTCTCTTTGTAGGAAAAAGATAATGAGTCCTATGTGGGTATGATGGAATATGTTTTATCAAAGCCTGGATTCTACTTTTCCTACACTTTTGATATAACTCACACTCTGCAGCGAAGACACCGCTTTTTTGGGATAAAATCACAATTTTGTTCGATGCCATTACATGAAAGGGCTGATGAGCGATTTATGTGGAATACTCACCTTATGCAAGACCTGGTTGTCTTACCAGAACTTCATCGTTTTATTGTGCCTATTATCCATGGCTTTGTGTGCACCAAGAAAGGTGTTATAAATGGAAACTGCATAAAATTTTGTTTAATATCCCGGAGAAGTACTCAAAGAGCTGGTGTGCGTTATTACAGGAGAGGAATTGATAATGCAGGCAGTGTTGCTAACTATGTTGAAACAGAGCAGATTGTTTTCTACGGTGGAAATTCAATGTCATTTGTTCAGGTTTGTAATGTGTAAAAATCATTTTGTGTGCATTGCTAATATTTTTATGATTATGGACAAAGAACATTTGTCCTTTTGATACTTATTAACCCTCGGTGTGCCTGCGCAGCGAGGGTTACAGTAGTTGGCCTGTGTGTGTTTGTGTGTGTCCACGACTATTCTCTCAGTACAGGCTACGAGGCAGCCTAAGAGCGATGCCAAACACTTCAGTGCTACAAGCGCATTAAAAAAAATGGCGATTTATCTGAAACAACAGCGTTCGGGCGTGAGAAACTGGCACAGTCATAGATCATGTAGCGTGGCCGAACCCATCAATTAGTGGTGCGCATGCGTATTGATTCACGCTCACACGCATATGAGGCGCACACCATGCGAGACGTGCAGTAGTTGGTCTGTCTGTCTGTCTGTCTGTCTGTGTTTGCATATGGGAAGAGAGAAAGAAGAGTGCTAGGGATTGACAGGCTTTTGTCTGTGCTCACATGCATTGGCTTTTTGAATGCTTGTACACAGCAATCCCACCGCCATCCCCAAACACAACAACCAGAGAACCCTCTATATCTGTCTTTGTTTTGTCTGTCATGCACCAGTCATCAGAGGAGCTCCTCAGCAGATCATCGTGTAGGTCACATGTTTCGGTCCCTTTAATCTCCCTACCTGTACCTCACTACGACTGGGGCGGGACCACTCCCACGTAACGGAGTCTGGTATGAACGCAGTAATGTCAGTTTGTCTTGCTAAGTTTGTCATGCTATAGTTCAGTTTGTCCGTTTTTTAAGTCCTATTTTAGGTTGTGACAGTAAGTATGCATGCACAGGAAGTTTACCTACACCCTTACTGCCTTGTTGTGACAAGATTAGACAAGATACACATACCTGCCTTGGGTCATACCTGCTGGCATCTTCTTACAACCACCGCATGGAGTACCAATAATTGCGTGAGCGGCTGAGCATGCGTGTTGTTTTTACTACAATTACAAGATGGCAAAGGCGATTTTTTACTCTGAGTGTGTGTGTGTTGACACTTATTCTCGCACTACAGGCTACGAGGCGGCCTAATAGCAATACCAGCGGCTGCAGAACTACGCAAGCCTGAAAACTAAGAAGGCGATTTTCCTGAAACGACTGTGTTCGAGAGATATGCCGTGAAAACAAGTGAAAAAGCCAATATGCATAATTGCACTGGGCTTACCGCAACCTGATCCGCTCGCTCTGTGTACCTTGGGGGTTCAGGAAGTCACAAAAAATGACATGTATCGACTCCAGCATGCTATCTACTACTGTAGCTAGCCTGTGTTAGACTCTCCGCGAGCTACTAGCTGCAGACCGCGAGTAAACACATACAAATAGCCCAGCCCATCAGTTAGCAGTATCGCGCATGCGCAGTTCGCCGAGGGTTTCCACTTTAGTGCTTTTCATTCATTCATTAATGACTTAAATCAACAAGAATATCATTTCTAGCGTACACCGAAATGGCAGTTAAGTGGCACATACTGAGTGTGTATGGGCATGAGAGGAGTAACATAAATTTACATACATTGCTCTAATGAAACTATTACACGCTTCATATTTCTAGCTGTCAGTCACAACCAATTTTCGCTCTTTCTTCTTCTTGTTTCTTTTCCTTGTGACGTATAGAAATTCTATGAGTTTACCTGCCGTAGAAATGGAATACTTGTGTTGCCAATTAAATATATGCAATTGCATAATATGTCTTCCTATTCTCCCATGCTTTAGTTTTGTCAATCCAAGTCAACAATTTTCAATATAAGGACCCACTCGAATGTCAAGAACCACTCGAGCTTACCTTAGATGACAGTTCACTCTTTCGCAGTACTTGGTCTCTGTGTCTGTCTGTCTGTCTCTGTGTGTGTGTGTTACCACGTTTTCTGCCACCAAACCGGCCAAAAAGTGACACGAATGGGTTCAGTGCTACACTACACATTGCACCGGCTTCTCATTATATGATCTGCTGGCTGTGGAGGCAGAAGAAGTCACAAAGGACGGCATGTATCAAGTCCCGCATGCTTTTTACTGGTGTAGCTAGCGTGTTGTGTCCTTGAGGTACAAGCAGTATCCTGTGACTAAATTGACCCCCAGCGATTAGTTAATAGTGCCACTCATGTGTATTGGCTCTGTGTTTCTAGTTGTGCCGAGGGTTTGTATTTCAGTGCTGTTTTGCTGTATGTCTGCAGGTAGTAGAAGCTAGGAGTTCATATTGTTGTCCTGATATTTTATCCTGCCAAGTCTCAATAAAAAAAAATGTATGACCTTTATTTCAATCTATTTTGGTATTGTTACAATCTCTTTTTATGTTGTTTTCTCCTGAAGTAACTCTAATAGCTGTATTGATGTCTTGTTCCCCAATGTAGACAAGGGGTTCTATACCACTTCACTGGTCTCAACGACCCTGCCTTAAGTACAAGCCACCTGCAGTAATTTCAGATTGTTCAAATCAGGTATATACATCTTTTAGAATGGGATAGGATAACCTGCTAATTCCACTATTTAACCCTCAGCACACATGCACAGACGGGGTTACAGTACTTAGAGTGAGCTAGGTTCTAATTTACTAATCTGATTGCAAGGCCGAGGTTTACTAAGTTTCGTAGTAAACCTCGACGGGGTTTACTACAGTAAAAATAGTAAACCTACAGATTCAACGAGAAAACAACAAAAATGACAAGATCAACAACTGAATCTACATTGAGCGTCGTCCACATGCGTGCACAGACCATCACACGCGCACAAGCAGAAAGAAGGCGGAGTCACTATCGCGTGTCTCTAGCTCTGCCTCTTGCTCTCCGAGTCTGTCTCCATCGAGTCATTGTTAGAAGCACTCCACCGTACGAATGAACAGGAAAAAAAACTGAAACTGCCATGTTTTAGCTCAATGATACGCTTGGTGTGGGATTAGTGTGGAACCATCAGAAGTTACAACAGATAGCGAGAATCGAGTCTTGCTACATAGCCTTTGCAGACTCTCAGCGAGCTGGCAAGAAACCATATAAATAGTAAGTGTGCCCAAACCCATGAATTAGCGATTTACAGACCCGCACATACATATGACATTCGCATTTTAGTGCTTTACAGTAACGGTAGCACACAAATTTATAACTTTATGATTCGTCCACTTCTCTGACTTATATGAAGTATGTGACCAGAAGCAAGTCCCACCGTGGAGTTACACAATTACAGTATGGGGGGGGTGTCGGACAGAATGTTCTCAGTTAACTCAACTATTAGTGACAGTCACCAACCCTTATTTATACAGAATGAAATCAACACCTGGTTACTTGTTTGTTAAAATACATTTTGATATTGTGTAACTTGCCTCATTAATATGTTCATAAGTTCGAGTTCCATACAGTTTCATAGGAGCGGGAAAATGTGCATTAAATAGAAGTTGCGCACGCATCCCCATATGTACACAATTGTGTTGCGGTGTTAGTTTAACAATTTGTTGGAGCAAAAGAACATACTTCTCCTGTTCCACGTAATGTTACTGACATGGCAGAACAGGGAACACGGTATACAGAAATATTTTGCTTCTAACACTGTACAACGTGTGCATTGCAATTACGCACATATGCACAACATGCTTGCACCATTTGTATTTAATGTGCATTTTTCCGCTCCTATAGAAGTGTATGGGACCCGAACTGATGAATATTAAAACAAAGCCTAAAGTACTATATATGCCAAGAGACAATAAAATTTGTTTCTTATTTTTTAGGCTCTAATTAATTCATTCATTAGTTCGTGTTTCATACATAAAATCTATAGCAATGTAAATCATGTGCATCAAATAGAAGTCGCGCACGCATCCACACATGTTTGCAATTGTGTTGCACCCGTTCTACGGTGTTGTTTTGACAAAAAGTTGGAAGAAATCAATTCCTGCATGTTCGTTTCCTTGTACATATAGCTAACATGCAAAAACATGAAAGAGGACATGCAGGAATGTGTTGTTTTGCTCTTATGTCTACCTGTGCTGGTTATGGTAGTAAATGCTCCCTAAAGGCTTTGTTTATTACCGGTGATGTGGAGTCCGCATTGTATGATACACTCAAAACAGAACTGATCAAGCCTTAAAGCAGAGTAAGCTCCAGCAACTGATCAACGGTGAGAAACTGGGAGAGAACACCTACACAGCTGCTACGACGCATGCAACAGCTACTTTGCGGCGAGCTCGGCACAGCAGACGATTCCAACTCATTCCTCCGCGAACTTTTCTGCAATGTCCTCCCACTAACGTCAGGATGGTCCGCGCTTCTGCTGACGACTCAATGGACCTCACTCAAGTTCGCTGTCATGGCAGACAAGGTGATTGAGGTTGCCACCCCCCACTGCTGTAGCACTCTCTGATACCCGTCCTTACCGCCTAAGAAATGAAAAGCACTAAAGTGCAAACCCTCGGCGAACTGCGCATGCGCGGTACCGCTAATTGATGGGCTGGGCTATTTGTAGTATGCGTTTACTCGTGGAGTAGCTCGCGAAGAGTCTGACACGGGCTAGCTACGGTAGTAGATAACATGCGGGAGTCGATAAACGCTCTTCGTTGTGACTTCTTGTGCCTCCAAGGTACACAGAGCAAGTGGACCCTGTCGAGGTAAGCCTGTGCCAATTTTCATATTGGCTTGTTCACTTGGTTTTAATGCCATAACTTCTGAACGCGGCACTTTTACAAAAAATCACCATTTTAAAAATGATACGGGTGTAGCACTGAACCCGTTGGTGTCGCTATTTTACCTGTTTGTCGCGCGTGGTGGCAGAAAACGTGGACGGACGGACAGACCAAGTACTGTAACCCTCGCTGCGCATGCGCGCCGCCGAGGGTTAATTAGACAACTCAGAGAGGAGGTCTCATGCCTGGCTGACCTAGTTTCCTCTCTGACACCTCAATGTCACCGTTGGAGTTCATCCTGACCATGCCGTTCTAACTGCCCAGCCCCACCGAAAACCCCGCCCGCGGACTCGATAAGTTGGTATCACGCAAATTTGTTAAAGGGGCCCAGAAATGGGAACCTTGCAGTTGGGGAAAGGCCGGACACTATCGGCGACATGTTTTGCTAGCCGGAATTCCAGTCGCCTCTTTCACGTACGTGATGCTAACACGTACACACATTTTCTTGTTCATACAGGGTCTGAAGTGAGTGTCTTACCTCCTTCTACCACTGACCGCCGACAACCACCCGACAATCTCGCTCTTTCGCACACTGCCATAGGTATGTAAATCGCTCAACCTCGACCTCTGACGATCTCGGCCTTGGATTTTCATCATTGCTTAATCCCATGCCCGATTCCCTGAGACACTTTGGACTCCTGGTCAACATGAAGCAACACTGGCTGATTGACATTGCCACTCACTTCCACATCCAGGGCATAACCTCTTTTGATTCCCCTCCTAGTCCGTCCAACTTTCCACAGTGTATTGTTGGAGTTTTCGGCCCTCAAGTGTGCACTCCGGACAGACCTGTCGTGCATGATGTCACTTACCGTGTTGAGACAACAGCCCCCCCCCCCCCCCCCCCCCCCCCAGAGTCAACCTGTCCCTAACTGGCACCCGAACATTTTCGTGCAGCAAAGCAGGAGTTTGAGCACATGCTACAGCCGGGGATCGTATGTCCTTCATCCAGTGCATTGTCATCCCCTCTGCACATGGTGCAGAAGAAGACTGCTGGTGATTTGCATCCCTGTGGGGATTACTGGGCCCTGAACCGACTGACTGAACGCAGTGACTGTGCCTGACTGTTACCCTGTCCCCCACATCCACGACTTCTCCTCGTCATTGCAAAGTACCAGCATCTTTTCTAAACTTCACCTCATGTGTGTGTCATCAAATCCCAGTGGACCCTGCAGACGTCCCCAACACTGCTCTAACAACCCCATTCTGCCTATTTTTCACCGCTACGAATGCATCTCTCCTCTCCTTCCCCATAGCTGATTCCCCCACATGTCTCATGACTGACGTATCCGATACTTCTATGGGAACAGTCTTCCAACAGTTCATCAACTGCACTTGGCGTGCAATTTATTTCTAGAAGATGACACTGGTTGAGACACGCTACAGCACCTTTATAGACAAGTACTAGCTCTGTACCTCGCAATCCGACACTTCTGCCACCTACTGAAGAGCTGACACTTTCATGTACTTACCTACCACAAACCTCTGACGTATGGACTCGATATCTGCTCTGATCGACGCACTCTCCACGTCAGCTCGTTGGACTACATATCTCAATTCACATCCACCATCTGCTACATAGACAATGTGGTAGCTGACACACTTTCATGTATTGAGGCCAATGCTTTGATCTCTGGCACACCACCTATCGTGGATTTCGCTGCAATGGCCAAGTCACAAGCAACCGACCCACAGATCCAGGCACTAGAGTCCTCCCCATCATTGACAGTAGTCGTGGAGCCTGTTTCCACTTGACTGTGAACCCCCACTGGGTATGGTGACACACTGTTCAACTCTCTACACAGCCTCTTGCATCCAGGAATCTGAGCAACAAAGAAGCTCATCACTGCCCACTTCAATGGTTCCTGGGGTCAATGCTGATGTCCGCCAATGGACACGTGCATGTGTACAGTGTGAACGCGCCAAGATCCCACAGGCACACTGCAGCTCCACTCTCATCCTTCACTGTTCCTAATGCTCAATTCTATGTCGTCCTCATCGATCTTGTCAGACCACTTCTACCTTCACATGGATTCACTAACTTGCTGAGCTGTGTTGATCGGTTCACCAGGTTCACCGTAGTGAACTGAAACCTTGTTGTGATTTCACTATTATGTGGCATTACATCGTTGCATTACATCATCCAACACGTGTCAGTCATGTATAAATGTGTGAGTTGTACCGTCCTTGACATTAGTTCTTTTGGTCGTGACTTACGACAAGAACAAAGAACCCAAGGCAATAAATTATAATGGGGACACATGTTAGTGCACATTAATGCTAAGAGCTATGCTGGTATACACAATGTATTCAGTGACCACTATCCAGAACACAACAATACATGTCTACAAATAGTCAAGCCTCGTTTCAAGTTTGTGCAGAGGAGTATTAGATCGTTTCCACGATGACCGATTGTTTGAAAAACGAATAGCCCAGGCACTGTTTTTTTGACTCCTAAAACTTGTTAGAGGTAGCACCATGCATAATACATTGTTTCCATGATGACCACATAATAGCCTCACTCCTCAACGTCTCTAATGCATTCAGATAAAACTTTGTACGTACTCGTGTTACATTGTTTACATGACGACCACATAGCGACAACAACAAATAGGCTCTTAAATTACTTCTTCACTCTTCAAACTACCTAATATTAGCATTCATGGAGATGAAGCTTTGTACGCATTCCGATTACATCGTTTCCATGACAACTACATATTTATCAACAACAAATAGCTTCAGGCATTTTAATAAAATACTTCTTCACTCCTCATTGTTTCCATGAGGACCACATATTGTCAGAAATAGCCTCATATTATACTTCTTCACTCCTCAAACTTTCTAATAATAGCAGATGAAACTTTATACACATGCATATTACATCATTTCCATGGCGGCCATAGAGATATGTAGTATAGTAGAAAGCCAAGATAGGGACAGGATACATACAGCATTGTTAATGAACGTATTTTGCACCTGACACCCCCGACCCCATCACACAATCCCTGTATTGTTGACGAGGTGAAGTATTATAAAAAACAGAGTCAGTAGCCAACGGAGCCCAGAAATGGAGTATAATTAAGAGTTGTACATAGGCAATAATATAAGGATTGTGTTATGGGTTCTGGGGTGCCAGCGTGGTCATATATGTTTGTTTATGGGAACGTGGTGGTATAAAATATTACTAAAGATAGAACAAAACAATAGAGGATGAGCACAGTGAAAAAACGGAGTTCCTTTATAGTAACATTTCCAAATTTAGCCTTTATATACTGCCACATTCCCTTTAACCATTGCTTTATAATATAGCCCATTCCTATATGCATGTTAAACTCGCAGGATTTTTTACTTTACT